GAAAATGAGGCTGCGGCCTAGGCGCGGCGAGGGGGCCATGCACCAGGGGCCCCAACAATAATTATTTTTTAGAAGAAATAATGTTCAACAACGACAACGACAACGACAACGACAACGACAACGACAACAACAACAACAACAACAACAACAACAACAACAACAACAACAACAACAACAACAACAACAACAACAACAGCAGCACCAACAATCATTTTTGAGGCTGTTCGCTCGTATATCCCAAACCCTCTGTACCCGCCCGCTTCGTCTGCGATCCTCCCCCCTTTGGGGCACACCTGGCCCCGGGCTCTGGGCCCACGGGCCCCCCCCCCGATGGGATTTGTCCCAGGGCTCCACGCCCCCCCCCCCCCCTGATGGGATTGGACCACGACCGACGACGACGACGCCGACGGAGATGACGACGACGACGACGGTGGCGACGACGACGGCGGCGACGACGACGGCGACGGCGACGACGACGACGGCGACGACGATGACGACGACGACGACGGCGACGGCGACGACGACGACGACCGACGACGACGACGACGGCGACTACGACGACGACGACGACGGCGGCGACGACGACGGCGACGAAGACGACGGCGACGGTGACGACGGCGACGACGACGACGACGACGGCGACGACGACGACGACGACGGCGACGGCGACGACGACGACGACGACGGCGACGACGACGACGACGACGACGACGGCGACGGTGACGACGGCGACGACGACCGCGACGACGACGGCGACGGCGACGACGACTACGGCGACGACGACGACGACGACGGCGGCGGCGGCGCCCCCGACCTTGGGAGCCCTTCGACCACGACGGCGGCGGCGGCGGCGACGACGACGACCTCCGAAGCTCTCCTGGAGCACCACAGTACCTCGCCACACACGCCACACCCACAGCACAACATCACACCCACAGGGGGGGGAACCATCGCGCGGGTGGGGGGGAGTCCGATGGCATCAGCATGAAGGGGGGGAGCCGTTGTTGTTGTTGTTGTTGTTGTTGTTGTTGTTGTTGTTGTTGTTGTTGTCTCTCTCTCTGTCTCTCTGTATTATGTATTGTATGGCACAATTGCACCATGCTGGGCACATGCGCGCCCCGAATAAGTGACCAAGTTCTGTGGGTGTGTACCCCACGCCAGTGTAGTAGCCACGGTCGTCCGCACGCCACGAAGTGAAGTGTCCCAACGTCATAGGGCGGGAAGCTGGGTTTGGGTGGTCGCGAAGAGTCGTTTGGATATTTGGTAGAGCTTGTAATGCCCCCCCACGAAGTGGGGGTATTGCCTGGTGTCGTATGAAAACCCTGGCACTGGGGAGAACACCACGCGTTCGGGTAAAATGATTGTTGTTGTTGTTGTTGTTGTTGTTGTTGTTGTTGTTGTTGTTGTTGTTGTTGTTGTTGTTGTTGTTGTTGTTGTTGTTGTTGTTGTTGTTGTTGAACCTTAATTACTAAACAATTATTATTGTTGGACCCCCTATATTCGCCCTGGCGCTCTCGCCGAGGCGCCGGCCGCATTTCCTCTCAAATTGAGGCTCACGCTCAGGCGTTTTGGGGTTCCGCCAAAACCGGCCCCCCAACAACAACAACGCTCCGGCTCGAGACTTCCTCCTTTTTTACTCGGGCTCGGTGCTCTTGCACGCCGCCGAGAGCGGCTCCCGGGCCGGACGCCCGGGTCGGCGCCCGAGCCGGCGCCCGGGCGCCGGAAAATCGAGTTCCGAGGCGGCGCCGAAAAAAGGCCATTCCAATACACATTTTTCTTTCGAAAATGCTGAATTTCTGCTTCCGGCGCCCGGGGGGGAGGCCGTCCGGGCCGATTCCGGAGCTCGGGCCGGCACCCGGCCCGGCTCCCGGGCCGGACGCCCGGGTCGGCGCCCGAGCCGGCGCCCGGGCGCCAGAAAATCGAGTTCCGAGGCGGCGCCGAAAAAAGGCCATTCCAATACACATTTTTCTTTCGAAAATGCTGAATTTCTGCTTCCGGCGCCCGGGAAGCCGTCCGGGCCGATTCCGGAGCTCGGGCCGGCACCCGGCCCGGCTCCCGGGCCGGACGCCCGGGTCGGCGCCCGAGCCGGCGCCCGGGCGCCGGAAAATCGAGTTCCGAGGCGGCGCCGAAAAAAGGCCATTCCAATACACATTTTTCTTTCGAAAATGCTGAATTTCTGCTTCCGGCGCCCGGGAGGCCGTCCGGGCCGACGGGCCGGCCCGGCCGGCACCCGGCCCGGCTCCTGGGCCGGACGCCCAGGCAGTTCCGATCGCGCCGAAAAGAGGCCATTCCAATACACATGTTTTTTTTTTTGTTCGAAAATGCTGAATTTCTGCTTGCGGCGCCCGGGAAGCCGTCCTGGGCCGATTCTGGAGCGGCTTTGGGCCAGACGCCCGAGCCGGCGCCCGTACGTGGTGCTTCTCTGCTTCTGGCGCCTGCGCAGCTTCCCGAGCCGCTTCTGGAACCATATCTGGGCCGGTCCAGCGATAGGTTTCCTGGATGTGCTGAACCATCCAACTTTTTGAAACTTCTGCGTCTCAAGGATAGGGAGAGAAGACATTAAAGGAGGATCAAAAAGCAACGTCGCTATGAACGCTTGGCTGCCGCAAGCCAGTTCTACTTACTTGGACTACTACTACCGTTACCACTACTACTAGTGCTACAGCCGCAACAACAATATCATCAACTGCTGCTACTACAACTACTCATCCTTCCTCCCCCTCCTCCCCCTCCCTTCTCCTCCTCCCCCTCCCTATCTCTCTCATCTCCCCCTCCTCTTCCTCTTCCTCTCCCTCTGAGATGCGGGGCATGCGCAAGGCGATTGCGAAGGCGATGTGCCGTCCGAGCTACGGATGTTGAAGTTCCTCGGAAGAGGTGGTGGCCAAACCTTCTTGGGCGGGATATCTGGGTGGAGGAATACCGGATCCCGCATGCCAGAAAAATCCCCCATGATGGGGTGTGTTATCCAGATGGATGCATGTGTCATGTGGAAGCATGGCGCATGAGGGTAAAATGATTGTTGTTGTTGTTGTAAACTCGGGGCCGACAACCCAATTCTGAGACTCAATACTTTCCAATCGAGAGAGCGTGATCCACCGCCGCCTTACTGTGGAAAATTCCCCCCCTCGTCCTCCAAAACCCGGGGTATCCCCTCCTCCTTTCAAAAATCCCCCCCTTTCTGAACCCTCCCCCCCCCCGCCCTTCACCCCGGCAAACCCCCCCACCCCTAACCCCCCGCCCCCAAACACTCCTCCCCCCCCCTCCCGGAAACCATGGAGGGGGTCACTACCGGTTCGAACCCCCCTCCCTCCAGAAAACCGGGAGGGGTCACTACCAGTTCGAACCTCCCCCCCCCTTCCAGAAAACCGGGGCGGGTCAGTACCGGTTCTAAACCCCAATTCGGTGACACGTCACTTCCCTTGTAAAAAGCAGGGTGCGAGCCCCAAGAGAAGCATCTGCTTCAAAATTAAAAAAGAAAATGTTGCCACGCAGGGGGGATCAACAACAATTGCTCTTGCGAAACAATCAAATAGAACCTGGGCCACGGAATCCCACTTCACCCACGCACCCACGGATGGTGAAAGACAGTTCGGCCCCCTCAGTCTGACAGAATGCGTAAACGCAGTTTGTCGGAGGTCCGTGTGGATTTCTTGGATCTGCGCTGGGTCCGCCTCCCTGGAGAGCGGAGCGCGCCAGGGGCGGCGCAGGAGGCGCTGCCAGGAGGGCCCAGCGACCATCCAAGAGATCCTCTCCGAATGTTTATGCTTATGCCTCCTTTTTGACTACCTACCAGACCACCCCAACCCAACCCGAAGGCCCGAATTTGGGGTTGGGGGGGGGTAAGGGTTCCATACGTGTTTTTTCTATGTTCCGCGACCCCCCCCCCACTGGAAATGGAGGGCAAATCTGAGCCTTCGGGTTGGGTTGGGGTGGTTTGGTGGGTGGTGACTTGTTCTCCTTCGAGAGACGGGAGGGTGGCAGAGCACGGGACAATGACATCATGCCGAGGGCGCATAGGGGAAGATAGGGAGGTCCAAAGTGAAGGGGCCCTGGGACACACAAATAAATGCACACAAATAAAAGGATTCCCCATATTTTCCTATATTTTCAGGGTTTCTGTCTTCCGCCCCACTGCCCATATTTTCAAATATTTTCGGGGGAATCGAAGATTAATTGTGTCTGTGCTTTTTCTCCTCCTGACAAAGGCAGTGTCTCTGGACAGGCGCGTTCCACTACTCGCAACTTCACTACTCGCAAATTGCCTGGATCCGCCGCGGGGGATCTGCGGCATGTTGCACAGAGGAAGACCTGTACGTTTCGGACGTCTGCGAGCAGGCTCTTTGCGAGCAGTGGAGCGCGCTCGGCGAGTCTCGTAAGAGCAAACTGCCGGGCGAGAGCGGACCTCTATGTTTCGGACGTCTGCGAGCAGGCTCCTTGCGAGTAGTGGAGCGCGCTCGGCGAGTCTCGTAAGATCAAACTGCCGGGCGAGAGCGGCTTCGGAGGAGGAGGCGGATGCGGAGGAGGAGGAGGAGAAGGAGGAGGAGGAAGAGGAGAATCCAACAGTGCTTTATAATCTCTTGGGGGCGCACCTTTCTCAGTTCCGCCGCCTTCCGCCAGCCCTCCGTCCGTTTCCGCAGGAGGAGGAGGGAGAGGAGGAGGGAGGAGGAGGAGGAGGAGGAGGAGGAGGAGGAGGAAGAGGGAGGAGGAGGGAGGAGGAGGGAGGAGGCGGAGGAGGAGGAGGGGGAGGGGGGAGGGAGGAGGAGGAAGGAGGAGGAGGAGGAGGAGGGGGGAGGAGAAGGATGAGGAGGCGGAGGAGGAGGGAGGAGGAGGAGGAGAGAGGAGGGAGGAGAAGGGAGGGGAGGCTTCTCCGCCGCCTTCCGCCGAGGAAGAGACGCCAACCCCTCCGACCCTCGAGGGCCAAGCCTCGTTGGGAGCGCCCCGCGTGGGCACACGCGGGCGGCGCGCGCGCGCGGGCGCGCCGGGCGCGCTGGGGCCGCGGCGGTCGATTGGCGGCTGGTGCTGCGGCGATCCTGGCGGCCCGAGCACGGGCCTCGTGCCGTCTCGTCGGAGGGCGAAAAGGCAGCAGCGCGCCGGTCGCCCATGGGACGCGGAAGAACATGCAGTGGGAGCTCGACCACAAGAAGCTTCCCACAAGGAATCCACACCTTAGACCCCAGGACGTCCATTGATTCTTAATGTGGGAGCGTCACATAGCAAAACCACTGAAACCCAAGAAACCCAGGGCACCCTGAAGGCAAGGAAGGTGATTCTTGGCATGGGCTTCCACTGTACTAGCACCGTCCGAGCCGAGATCCTCATCCTGTTGCGTTGCCTGGGCGGCATTGCCACAGCCCCCTTGCGCCTCGGACAACGACAACAAAAAATGCGACGGGACATGTCTAGCAATTCTCGACGGACGCTTCGGCAATTCCCTGGCCCTGAAGCCAATTTGACAAGCCACGGGGCCGTCAGCCAACGACAGCCCAGGCCGAAAAGCCGGCCACGAGGAAGGGGTCGAGACTTTTGGAGAGCCAAGCTTAAAAAAGAGAAACGGACAACGGCAGAAACGTAATCTCCAAGAGGTCCTCGCAGATTTCTTGAATCGACGCTGGACCCCCCTCAATGGCGCGCAGAGCGCGCCAAGGGCGGCGCCGAAGGCGCCGCCATGCGGTCCCAACGCCCTTCCAAGATATCGACCCTACAATCACGTTGACTCACGGTGTTGAGATCCCAGGAACGGTGTTCTGGCACGATTTAGGATTGTTAAGACGCCATTGACACGCTGATTCGCGACGTTGAAGTCCTAGGAATGGTGATCTGGCATGGTTAACGATTATCAAACGATTGTCTTTCAACGGGGCGCTATCCGCGATAAAGAACAGTAGAGTCGTCATCATACTAATAATGATAATAATACTGAAAATGATGATAATCATCATCAACGGGCCAGAGGCGTGCTAAGATCTCCGGTAACTGCTCAACAATATTTCTAGTTCGCGCGCGCGTGGCGGGCCCTGGGGGTCCCCGGACGAAAAGTACCCCGGCAAGGTACAGGCAAGGTCCCGGCAAGGTCCCGGCAAGGTCCCGGCAAGGTCCCAGCAAGGTCCCGGCAAGGTCCCTTTTCGGAGCCCAGGAGGGCTCCAAACGGTCCAAGAGAGGCCCGAGAAGCCCTCCAGACGGTCCAAGAGAGCCGGGAGACACCGAAATATCACTCCCAAGCGCCTGCGATGGCCTCAAGACGGCCCAACAGGCCTTCAAGACGCCCCAAGAGGTCCCTAAGCGGCGCCCCAAGAGGGCTCCCACTAGCAAAAATCGTCCCGTTCCCTTAGGAAAACGTGCATTTTTAACATATCCGCCTCTTCGTCTTTCACACCTTTCAAGGCGGTCCAAGAGGCCCCCAAGATCACCCCAAGACGGCCCGAGAGACCCTCAAGACCGCTCAAAGACGGCCCAAGAGCGCTCCAAGAAGGCCCAAGAAACCCTCAAGAACTCTTTTTCGGAGCCCAGGAGGGCTCCAAATCGGTCCAAGAGGGGCCCGAGAAGCCCTCCAGACGGTCCAAGAGAGCCGGGAGACGCCGAAATATCACTCCCAAACGCCTACGATGGCCTCAAGACGGCCCAACAGGCCTTCAAGACGCCCCAAGAGGTCCCTAAGAGGTCCCTAAGCGGCGTCCCAAGAGGGCTCCCACTAGCAAAAATCGTCCCATTCCCTTAGGAAAACGTGCATTTTTAACATATCCGCCTCTTCGTCTTTCACACCTTTCAAGGCGGTCCAAGAGGCCCCCAAGATCACCCCAAGACGGCCCGAGAGACCCTCAAGACCGCTCAAAGACGGCCCAAGAGCGCTCCAAGAAGGCCCAAGAAACCCTCAAGAACTCTTTTTCGGAGCCCAGGAGGGCTCCAAATCGGTCCAAGAGGGGACCGAGAAGCCCTCCAGACGGTCCAAGAGAGCCGGGAGACGCCGAAATATCACCCCCAAGCGCCTACGATGGCCTCAAGACGGCCCAACAGGCCTTCAAGACGCCCCAAGAGGTCCCTAAGCGGACAAGCAAAAATCGTGTCATTCCCTTAGGAAAGCGTGCATTTTTAACATATCCGCCTTTTCGTCTTTCGCACCTTTCAAGGCGGTCCAAGAGGCCCCCAAGATCACCCCAAGACGGCCCGAGAGATCCTCAAGACCGCTCAAAGACGGCCCAAGAGCGCTCCAAGAAGGCCCAAGAAACCCTCAAGACGGTCCAAGAGGCCCCAAGACGGCCCCATGATTGAGGTCCACAGGGGCAACCTGAACGGAAATTTTGAGCCTCCCGCCCAAACACGCCCCCGAAATGCCCCTACAAGCCCCCAAGTAGCCCCACGAAGCCCCCAAGAGAGCCCCAAGAGGCCCCCAACAGGCCGCAAGAAAGCCCCAAGAGGCCCCCAAGAGACCCCCAGGAAGCTCCCAGGAGGCCCCCAAGAGGCCAGGCAGACCCCCCCAAGAGACCACAAAGAGGGCCCACCCAGAGCCATCCACGAGGCCTCCCAAAGTTCCCAAGAAGCTCCCACGAAGCTTCCAAGGGCCCCCAAGACCCCCCAAGACCCCGCGATGGCACAATACGGGCCGGCGGAATGAGCGAAGCGATTCAATAATACTGAAAATAAGGACCATCATCATCATCATCATCATCATCATCATCATCATCATCATCATCATCATCATCACCTTCACCACCACCACCATCATCATCATCATCATCATCATCATCATCATCATCATCATCATCATCATCATCATCGTCATCACCATCATCATCATCATCACCATCAGCATCAGCATCATCATCATCATCGTCACCGCCATCGTCAAAAATCGTCATCATCACCACCATCACCCTCGTCATCCACTCCCTCATCCTTTTCCATCTTCTCCTCCTCCCGTAGGTCCTCTAGGTCACTGGCACACCATGTGTTGCTATGCAACACACTTGGCACAACATGTGTATGCAATGGCACTCAAGAGGGATCAAGAGGGTTAGGCTTTCGGGCTAGGGGATACGACCGACCAAATTCAGACGTGGTCGAGAAACCATTGCCACCTGTCAACAAGCTCAAAGTCCTGCCAGCAGCGTTGTTCCTGGGTCCCCCTATACGCGGGTTCGAGCGCAACTCCACATTCTTGGTGCCGAATGCTGTGCAAACGCTGCACCAAACTTTCCCTCCTCCACCAATCCAAACGCGATAAGACCAATGAGCCAGACGGACTGGGTGGGGAACACCAGTGCGTCTCGTAAAACTTACAGCTTTACGAGACCAATCACGAATTCCACAAATCCTGCAAGACATACGCTTACCTACCGATGCAAGGTCGTGACCGTTCGCATCATGCACGAAATCAAAGGTCGGCGGGGGCTTGACTCGCTTAGCCGTGAAGCGATCGGCATCAGCAAAGCTCAGTTTGGAAAGGGCTTCCCCGATCCCCGCGAGCAGCACAGCCTTGCAACGCAAAACAGATTCCTGGGCATTCAATTCCTGCAGTAGGTTTGGGGGGGCGGGGGGGGGGGGGTCGGCCCCAACCTTAGCAAGCGTGTCGGCTTCTCTGTTGCCCCTCCAACCCCACAAGGCTTCGCCTCTGCTGCTAGCCTGGGCTCAGGCGTGGCGACTGCGGACCTTGACCGCCTGCACAGGGGCCGCCAGGCCAGCTGCAACAGAGAACTGTCACGCAAGAGGTCTGCATCTGCTAGAATATCTTGACGCTGGTCCACTGCGTGGACGACGCCTCGATGGTAGTCTGGTCTAGCACCCCTGTGGTGTTGGGTCCTCGTCTTGAAGAAAGGGCCCCCGCGTCCCTCCTCTCCTCCTCCTCCCCCCTCCCTCCTCTTCCTCCTCCTCCTCCTCCTCCTCCTCCTCCTCCTCCTCCTCGTCCTCGTCCTCGTCCTCCTCCCTCCTCCCTGCGCTTCACCCACACAATACAGCGCTTCGTGGCCCCATAGGGGGCTCCACCGAAGGTCCCAGTGGCACCGCCCGCATGCGTCCGCCAACACCCAGCACGGCCTTTGCTCCCTGCGTTTCACCCGCCCAGTACAATGTTTCGCGGCCCCATAAGGGGGTTCCACCGAAGGTCCCAGTGGCACCGCCCGCATGCGTCCAACACCACCCAGCACAGCCCTTGCTCCCTGCGTTTCACCCACCCAATACATCGCTTCGTGGCCTCATAGGGGGGCTCCACCGAAAGTCCCAGTGGCACCGCCCGCATGCGTCCTCCACCACCCAGCACAAACCTTTGTTCCCTGCGTTTCACCCGCCCAGTACAGCGCTTCGTGGCCCCATAAGAAGCTCCACCGAAGGTCCCAGTGGCACCGCCCGCATGCGTCCGCTACCACCCAGCACAGCCCTTGCTCCCTGCGCCTCACCCACCCAATACAACGCTTCGTGGCCCCATACGGAGCTCCACCAGACGTCCCAGTGGCACCGCCCGCATGCGTCCGCCACCACCCAGCACAGCCCTTGCCCCCTGCGTTTCACCCACCCAATACAGCGCTTTGTGGCCCCCTAGGGAGCCCCACCGAAAGTCCCAGTGGCACCGCCCGCATGCGTCCGCCACCACCCAGCACAGCCCTTGCTCCCTGCGTTTCACCCACCCAGTACAGCGCTTCGTGGCCCCATAGGGAGCGCCACCGGAGAAGATACTCACAACTGCGGCACTCACAACTGCATTTGGTTGGGTCGTTCGGCTTCTTTTAAACCTATACATAAAGATATATATATATATATATATATATATGGGTCCTGGCCTATTCCCCCCCCCCCCTGCTGGAATCGATGTTTCGTTTTGGAGGGATTTCGGTCCACCGCAAACGCTTCACGCACGAATTGGGGTGGGGAGTCGTTTCGTTTGTTCGGAGGTCCTTGGACACTCATCTCCTTGGCCAGGGCCCATATATGTATATACATGCATACTCGTGCTCTCCATTCCCCTCCACACGTTCCCTCACCTCGCTCTCTCAGCCGTCCCGTGGGCGCCCGCTCCGCCAGGGCAGTGATGATGGTGGGAGTT